CTGGGATGGGGGGTCCTCACTGGGATGGGGGCCTCCTCCCTGTCTGGGATGGGGCTTCCTCCCTGTCTGGGATGGGGGGTCCTCCCTGTCTGGGCTGGGGCCTCCTCCCTGTCTGGGCTGGGGGGTCCTCCCTGTCTGGGCTGGACTAGGCTCTGCCTGGTCAAAGCTGGTGACAATGTGGGGTGATGGCAGGGCTGAGGGAGGGTCCCAGGTGACAGTGAGGAAACAGCTTCCGCGAAACTCAGGCAGCCCTGGGACAGAGGGTGGGTGTGGGAGGGGGCCTCCTGGTGGGCCCACTTTCCCTGAGAGCCACCCCCGTTACCAACAGCAACAGGAATCACACTCCCGTTGCCTTGGTGCCCCCCTGCCCTGGCACAGGGCTGCTGTGAGCATCACGCCCCACCCAGGTGCCACATCTGCTGGGGAGCACCCCACACCTCCAGTGGAGCACCCCACACCTCCAGCACAGCCAAGAGGGTAGAGAGGAGAGGTGGGTGGTGGAGGGGGCGCTGTCATCCAAGGTGGCGTCACCAGTGCTGGGGACTGAGAGCCTGGGAAGGGCCTCGAGGGCCGCCTCATAGAACCCACCTGGAAGGAGCAAGGCCACATATTTGGGTGCCCCCTGGACCAGGGAGGCCAGGCGCACACGGGCAGCAGGGCTGAGGCCAGAGAGCCGGTAGGTTCTCCAGCCCCGGGGGCCTTGCCTGCTGGGCTCAGCCCCACCCTGTTCCCCTGGGCCCAGGGGCTGGCTCACCAGGATGTAGAGGGCGCCCTCCGAGCTCTTCTCGTACTCCTTGATGGTGGAGAAGACGGACAGCACCAGGCAGGAGAAGACCAGCAAGAACCTGGAGGACACGGAGAGCCGCAGGTCAGAGCCCACAGCGGGAAGAGTGAGGGACGTGACCCACCACCCGCTCTGCCTCCTGGGCCCCTGCCGGAGGCCGCCACACCGGCTCCTCTTCCTGGGAGCCACAGGCAGCTAACCAGAGGCACCGTCAGAAGCTCCTCCCAAGGAGGCAGCTCCTGCTGCCCTGAGGCCGCTGAGGTGGCCACTCGCCATCGGAAAGGGACGTGTCCCCATCCGGGGGGTATCCTCACCATGAACGTGCTCTGGTCACACGGCAGAGAGAGGCTCTTGAGGCTCCCCTTGGCCACAGTGGCCCTTGCTAACAGTGACGTGGAGGGACCAGAGCCCAGGGCACAGAGCTGCAGTCACAGCTGCATGTCAGCGTGTCTGGGTCGGATTCCCTCCACACAGCGTCCCTTTCCCAGGCCTGCCTGAAGCTCTGGCCACACTCCTCTGCCCACTGGACAGAAGAGACCTCTGGCACCCTCCACCTGTGGATCCGGGGGCTGGCCTAAGCTCCCTTGGCTGCGGGGAGTCTCTCCCAGCCCCACACACCCCATCATTCAAGCCACTGGTGCCAGAGAGGCGGAACATGCCACTAGACATCACCCTGTGCAGCACCCACCACCAGCCCCTCAACCAGCCTCTCCAGCCAGGGTGCAGGGTGCTCCTGGTACCAAGGCTGCCAGCCAGCACTGGCATCATCAGCCCCAGGACCTCTGCTCAAGTCAAGCCACATGAAAAGAGGCCCCATGACCCTAGGTTGCAGCCTGGGGCTGGTGCAAGGCCCCAGGCACAGGCCTCCCCAAGGATGAAGCCACAGGGAGGTGGCAGTGGAGGACAGAGAAGGGCCTCAACACTCCTGCCTTTAGACAGCATCCAGCTGTGCCTGAGCCTGGACTAGGGAAGCCTRCAACTTCATGCCCTTGGACATGGTTTCTGCCCCTGGCAGACAGAAGACCAGAGCTCTCCGGGCTGTGAAGGCCGAGGCATGGAGGGTCCTGCTGACCCCGTCCCATGCCACCGTGCTGCTGAGCTCTCTTCATCCCTGCAGGCAAGCCACGCTGCAGGCGGCCCGGCAGCCTTGGGTCAGTGGGAACAAGTCCTGGGTGTGTGGAGCCTTTGGGCACACGGGCTGGAGACCAGTGTTTGGTTACCTGACCTGAGCTGCTCTTTTCCTGCTCTGGGAAGAAGGCGCCCTGGGGGCTGATCTCAGCCCAGTGCCATGCTCACCTAGCACACGAGGGGCCCTGGCTTCATCCCGGGACCACCCATAAAGAAAAGAAAGCCCTTGAAGCACCACGGGAGCTGGCCCATGGGTGTCTCGGGAGACCTGGTGTCGGCCCAAACCCCAAAGCTGGGCTCCCTGCCCAGGAGACTGCTGGGGCCTGGTGCAGCAGAGGTGGACGGGCAGTACAGACCCAGGGGTGTCAGCCATGCAGCCCGGCCCCAGCCCAGCCTCTGCATCCCCAGCCCAGCCTGGTCCACAGGGAAGGCAACTCAAGGAGGCCACTGGACAGTGCCACACACAGTAGGTGTCCGGGCCCGCCCTCCTGCACTGTGCCACCTGACTTCCCGCAACCCAGCAGGCAGCCCTGGGGCCCTCTGCCCACTTGCTCTCACAAGCCCACTGCCCTCTGTGCAAGCCCACCGTGTCCAGGCTGGTTGCCCATGCTGGTCCCTCGCCGTTCCCTCACCCCAGGGCCTGCACCATGTGGAGGGTCCTCAGCTCTGCTCAGAGTCACAGCTGAAGTGTCAATCACATTGGAAAGTACAGCGACTCCTAGGCCATGTTGACACGACACCCCAGCCACCATGAGAGGACACGGCCGCAGCCAGGGCCTGGGCCTGCCGCTGACTCAGCAGCTCAGGAGGGAACACCCCAGTCATGCTCTAGGACAGTTGCGGGCACGGAGGCCTCTTGCCAGGAGCGTCCAGCCCAGGTCTCCAGGCACACCGGCCTTCACCAACACCCACCGGCACACTGCTGTTGGACCCGCACAGGCTCCCAAGAGGAACACACAGCTGACTGGGGGGCAGGAGCCTCTGCCAGGCCAGCAGTGCCTGTGCCCAAGGTGAAGAGTGGGGATGGGGCACTCGGGCAGAGTCCCTGCAGCCGAGGCCGAGGGGCCAGGGCTGCACAGGACGCGCCAAGCTCCAGAGCTGCATGCAGAAGCTGGAGGGGCCCTGGGGGCCACAGGGGAACTGCCCCTTGCCAGCTCCACTGCCCGCTCAGAGTGGGAGCCACTAGTCTCCCAGTGGGCCGCTGAGGACCCCCCATATGGCCTGGCCTGAGCTTGGCCACAGGGACCTGGGCTTGGGCCCGGGTCCAGCCCTGCCCACTGGTTCCAGGGCAGGGGGAGCACACCATCACCAAGCACTCTGAGACCAGCCTGCTCCTGAAGCCAGCACCTGTCCCCTGGGCTAACCCTGTCACACGCACTGGCCCTGAAGCACAGCCACGGGAGCAGTCCCCTCCCCCAGGGCGTGGCCCCAAGGACAGCTCCTGGCAGAGGAGCGGGCAGCGGGCAGCAGAAGCACAGGCGGGGCCCTCTGGCACAGACAACACACGCAAAGAAACGGCACATTTCAAAACTGCAATTAATTTCCTCTGCTCATTAGTCAATTGATTCAATTAACTGAGCCCTGAAAAAAAAGTGCAGACATCTCGTGTGCCTTCTCTGGCCACTGTGCCCGCCTGATGGTGTGATCTCCTGAGGGAGGACAGGGGCTCCTGGGCCTGAGCCAGGTCCCCAAGGCTGGCGCCCTGAAGGCACCCACCCCATCACAGAAAGGGCTCTGGGACCAGCTCAGCCCTGCAGACAGCACAGGGAACCCAGGGAGACATGTGCCCTGGGCCAGAAGCAGCAGCGGAGGAGGAGGCAGGGTGTCCCGGCAGAGAGAAGAGCAATGCCCAGAGGATGGGGAGGACAGGTATGTCCAGCATCCAGCAGAGGGGGATCTGGCCAGGCCTGGAAACAGGACAGGGGCCAGGACAGCACACAGACCGGATCCTGAGTCCACAGTGTCTCAGAACTGCATCACAGAGTCCAGCTCCTCACACGGAAAGAGTCCTCTAAGTTAAAGCACAGGGGCGGCCTCGGGCCTGCTCTTAGGGGGCTCTAGCTGGGCATCTCAGAACCTTCAGGAGACCCTAGAGACAAGGGGCACCTTTGACACCGCCATGACTTGTGGATCAGAGCCCTTCCAAGCAGCCTGGAGCCAGCATGGAGCCAGCACAGAGTCGGGGCGCAGCAGCTCAGCCCCTGGAAGGCCCCTGTTCCAGTCGCCCAGGAGGAGAGCAGGGAGCACCTGGCCACCCCACGGAGGCGGTGCTGGGAGCCTCGAGCAGCCTGCCCAGAAGTGCCCACCGTGCTTCACGCTTTGTTTTTACGTTTTCTGAACAGACGGCACAGATGGCTCCGCGGGGGAGCTGGTGCAGGGGTGGCTGGCGGCGGGCACACAGGGAAGTGCTCCCACGCACTCCTGGAGGCCCGGAAGAGGAAGGAGCATCCACTGTGCCGGCAGGGCCTCCTCCCCAGCTTGAGGCTCCCCAGGAGAGGCCCTGGCTGCCCGGGGCTCCAGGCCCAGATGGGTGGGGAGATCATCCCAGGTGCCGCCAGGGCCCTTCCCTAGACTACGGCTCATCCCACCCCACATCCAACCCTACGTCCAGCTGAATGTGGGAGAAGCTCTCCGGGCCCCTTCCCACCTAAAGGTGCCTGGGTGACCAGTGCCAGCCAGCAGCCTCTTGACATGGCCTGAGTGCAAGGAGGCCCCAGCACAGAGCAGGGGACGCCCACCCCAGCCAGATGACAGCCGTGTGGGCAGCTTGCAGCAGGGACCAACAGTGCAGGACTCAGGCGTGAGGGCAAGTGGCCCCACCTGGTGAGGGACAGCCCCTCTTTTGTCCCTTCACCTCCCCCCACTGGTCTGCTGCAGCTGATGTTTCTGGAAAACCCAACAAAGCCGCTGCCGCCTCATTCCGACCCCTCTCCTGGCAGGGCTTGGCTGGGGGACAGAGCCCGAGGCTGTTCCAGTGGCCCGCAGACACTGCCCAGACCCCCACTGTGAAAACTGTGCTCCCGCCAGGCACCTTCCCAAAGACCAACTCCAGATGGCCGGGGCTCCACTCCCATCTGACATATGTAATGTGGTCAGACTGACCGCAGGAACAGCAGGACAGGCCCAACCCAGCACCCGGCTCTGCTCCCCAGCCYGGGGAGTGCCCTCAGGCTGCTGTGGGATGGGCGGGAGGGGCTGGCCGGAGGGCTAAGATCCTCAGCACTGTCCACTCTGCAGGGCACACAGTGTCCCCACAGGAGGAAGGTGCTCCATCCCCACTTTTCAGAAGGAAATGGAGGGTCTGAGCCAGTGGCCTGGCCCTCTTCTGGCACCCCTCTTCCAACAGAGGCTGTGTTCTCACGGGGTCCCCTGCAGAAATTGCCCCTGAGAACAGGGCTCATTCCAATAAAGTTGTACCCCCGGGCTGGGGGCTGGGAGCACCGCCGCGAGGTGGGGGTGAGCAGCCAAAGTCCCTCCCTCTGGCCCACACTCAGGGAGGCTCCCCAGGGACATCCTCCTGCCTTGTCCACTGAGTCGCAGCCGGCACTGCCGCCTGGAATCTAATTTCCCCTAATAAACTGCCCGGCTTCCAGGACCTCTGCCTCTCTGGCCTCAGGAGTGGGGAGGGCGGAGTGCTGACGGCCGCTCCGGGCACCAACCGGACATGAAGGATGGCTGCTGGGTCTGCGGCCAGGGAAGGGCAGCAGCCACACTCYGCTGTGGCCTCTCCCAAGCACACCATGCAGCTGTCCTACCCACAGGCTGCGTGGGCCTGAGGCCTGGGGTACACCTCACACAGAGGTGCTCAGTGAGGGCCTGGGCCCCGCAGGTGCAGCTCAGGAACCCTCAGGCCCCACAAACACCCCTGGCCCACCAGCCCCCATCCAGCCCTCCTCCCAGTGGCCTCTCCAGGAGAGGGGTTCAGAGGTACTT